CACCCATCCCCCAAGAACAATTTTGCTCATTTATCCAGTCTCCTCCCTCCTTTACAAAGCGCAGAGACTAAAGGCTATGGTGGTCAGGAAATTCTTGCTCAGTGAAGCAGTGGGAGGCTCAAGGATTATTCTGTATCATGGAATCCATAAGTGGCAGCTTTCAGAGCCCACATGGGTGCACGTGGCTCTCCAAGACCGTGCAGCCTCAGTGTGAAACTGTCCACTGGGTGGCCCAGTTGTTCCCGTATCTTTGACTCTTAATGAGGATGAATATCAAAAGTCTGTTACAGCTGGAAGCCCAAAGGATTGCAAGGCCATGGTCTGCTGTATGGTTGTTGTGTCAGGGACACACTCAAATGTTTAGACGGTTATTACCTCTCTTGGCAGGCTATGAGCCTGTGAGGGAGGAGGCCCTTTTCTCAACCACATGGATGTTAGTAACTGAAACATCCCAAAGGGCTGTCTGTGTGCTGCCCAGGTAGCTGTTCAATTGCCCAGCAGCATGGTCAGCTCAGTAATTGGCCACAGAGGCTTGACAGGGACCAGACTGGCCTGAGCTGGTGGACCACAGATGCCTGCCTGGGTGGTCAGAGGTCAAGGGATGTCCTGAGACTTGATGTCTGTTGATGCCCACTCAGATGGGACAAAGGATGCCTGCAGTCCCAGGAAGGCCCCACCAGCCCTCAGGAGGCAGCACCTGGGGGCTGGTAGGTCGCTGTGCCAAGTTCTGTATAAATTCATAACATGACCATGGAGTGACCTCAGCCAGGCCTGTGCTGGACCGGGGCTGCCCAGGCCAAGTGGGACCAGCACTACTCTTCCCAGTTTGGATGGAAGGAGGAAACCCTGTAGACTTCTGAGGCCCTAACAACGCTGACTGAGGTTGAGTTGGATTTGAAACAGTCAGTGACCGGAGCAGACATTTCATTCTTCTGCTATCAGGTTCCAGGACGGGGGGTAGATAACCAGCGGTCCAGGTGAACCCCACACTCATGAGTGACCCAGGGCAAGTCCTGTCCATCCTAGAGGACACAGAGGTGTGGGGTTAGGGGGGCCGTGGGCCAGTTATGCTTAAGACTAACCCACTAACCCTAACGCCCAAATCTCTACTGTTAACTCCCTAACCCTAACCTCCTAATCTCTAAACCTAAACCCTAATACTCCTAACCCCTAGCCCCTATATACTCGACCTTGACCTGTAAACTCCTAACCCTTACCCTGACTCTGACTCAGACCATCTAACCTAACCCTCTAACCCTGACCCTCTAGCCTGCATCCTTTAACTCTAATCCCTCAAAACCTCATCCTCTTTTTTTTTTTTTTTTTTGGTTGCACCTGGTCTTAGTTGCAGCAGGCAGGCTCCTAAGCTGTGGCTCCAGGGCTCCTTTGTCGTGGCTCGTGGGTTCCTTAGTTGCAGCTTGCCAACTCCTTAGTTGTGGCATGCGGGCTTCCTAGTTGTGGCATGCGAACTCTTAGTTGCGGCATGACTGTGAGATCTAAGGTCCTGACCAGGGATCGGACCCAGGCCCCCTGCACTGGAAGCACGGAGTCCTATCCACTGCGCCACCAGGGAAGCCCCCCATCCTCCTAATGTACCCTCTAATTCTGTCCCTGAGCCTGTAACCCTGACCCTGACCCTACATTCTAACCCTGAGCCCTGAGCCTGAATTTCTATCCTTACTCCTGGCCCTCTAACTCTGAACCTAACTCTACCCCCTAACCCTAACCTCTGAGCCTGACCATGATCCTACACCACCCTTAACCCTAATCCAAATATAGGCCCATATCAGAGCAGACTAAAAATTTGAACCCTACTCCAATCCCTTTTCCCAGTGTAATCAGAACCATAATTTTCATTTTTGTCTGAAACCTAAGCCTGTTCAATTACGCCTTTTCCAAATGAACTCTAATGTACAGTAAACTGAACAAAACCTTAATTCTTACACCCACATAACCCTACACTGTTAGTGGTTATATAGACAAACCCTTTGCCTGTAACCTAACCCTAACCTCTAATTCCTAACCCCAACTCTAACTTACATCCCAACCTCAACCCCAAACCTAACTCTAACCTCTAACCATTAACCCACCCAACACAGCCACCCCAAACCTCAGCCAATGCCTGCTCAACTCCCAAACTGTATTCCTAACTCTAAAACACAACCACATCCCCCGTGAGTCCTTATCCTGGCTCCTCCAGCCACAAGCCTACCCTGACCCTCACCACGAAGCTGGGCCTAATCCGCCCTTGCATCCTATCAGCCCCAGAGCAAGTTGAAGGGGTTCTCACCCTCTTCTGAGCCCCCTCCGCCCCCGAGCCCCGTGCCCACCGCCCCCGAGCCCCGTGCCCTCCGCCCCCGAGCCCCGTGCCCACGGAGATGGCTCATCTGCCGGGCTCCGCACCCCTTGCATATATCACCCAGCAGCATGGTGGCGTTTTGTTTTTGATTTTTTGCTAAGTTTTATTTTAATCCAAGGACTTTTTGCTTCATACAAAATGTCATTGTAGAAACAACAGCAGAATCCAAAGTTTGGCTGATAGATATTACTCAGGCAGCAAACTAGTCACAGAATTTTTTTTAAAGCAAGTCCCAGTTGTGTTGCATGGTCGGGACCTTCTCTTTTTGTTTTTGTTTTTTTTAAACACTGTTCTTAAATATAAAGTTTTGCAACAAACCCTTGATTTATATCAAATATAATTAAAAATTAACAAATGAATACATTTTATCAAAAAGTACGAAGATATACATGTCATGCACATACTTGAATATATGTATATATGTATATATTTTACATGCACACAGAACTTATTCAAACTACAGCCACTGCTTGACTGGTTCCAGATGCAGACAACTGGTTGATGCACTTCAAATTGGGCAACTCGCTATGAGATTTTGGGGGAAACGTGACGGCTGAGAAGAGACAGTACAGAAACAAAACGCTGAGTCGGGAAAACAAGACAGTATATCCCCCGCTCTCTGTAATTTTCACCAATTCCAGTGTCTAGAAGAATCCAGACAAGCCAGCATGGCTGTGTGGGTCTGGAAAAGTGGATTCTCTGCCCACCATGGCCTGGGGAAGCAGCTGTGGTTCTGCACAGAATGAATACACTCAAAATAATATGGGCTGGGGGACCAGAGACAAAACATCAGTACCAAAATACACATCCTTCTGCTTTGCAGCAGGAGCCAGGGATGACATGCTCAGTCCAAGATTCCGATTTTAATTATATCCTACTTGAGTAAAATACTCTGTTATTTTAAAGTTTCAGAGGTTGTGCCTTCAAGTAAGGAAATTCTATAAAATGGTTTGGTCACAATCATGCTCAAACCCTAGAACAGGTGGCGGTCTTGTGTGTTTTATTTCTAATATTAAACGTGTGTCTTTTGTTGCATAGCCCTATGGGTTAACGGCATCCACTCACGGGGACACACAGACACGCACACACACACATCACACTCCAAGTTTCTTTAGGAGAGTCATGGGGTAAAAGCCAATGGGAACACTCAAATGGTCCAGCAAAGAGATCATCTCACATTTCAAAATATGGAGGACACACCAGAATCTACTCATCTAAATGCTCCTTCCGTTCACAAAACAAAGGGTCTCCAGTGTTTTATGCACCACATCCTAACAGTGGCCTTTCTCTTTTGAATGTGGCCCTGAAGCGGGACTTCGTTTGGCTGCCTGCTTTCCCACCTCTTGTGCCAGAAAGAGTGTGGGCTCAGATGCCCAGCTCAGCAGGTGCAGCTGAGCTGCTCCATCCTCCGAGCTCTGGCCTCATTTCCCTTTGGTTCCCAGCTGCCCTCATCTGCTCAGACGCGGGCACTCCTCCTGCCCCCACCCCATCCAATCTCCCCCGCTTCCCACCAGCCTCTCCCCGATGAGTCTTCTGTGAAAAGAAATTTGCACAACTACAGAGATTGCGCCCTGCCTGTCAGGCACCCCGTCCCTGAGAATCGGGTGTAGAAAGACTGGCCGGCCCACGCGGGCCATGCTACACATGCCCTGCAGCCTCTACTGGTTCGAGGGAAAAGGGCAAACGGCCGCTTCATTCCAACTACGATGGACCTACTGGGTGTTTTCTGCACGTTCTCCATTACATCCGCTTTCTACTCAGTTGCCGTTTGCAACAATTTCCACAAGGCCCACTCGCAGTTCACACAGGCCTCCCGTCCCGCCCCCGGGAGCCTGCGCGAGGGGCTAGGAGGTCAGGCACTTGGTCGAGAGCCGCGGGAGCCGGGTGGTCTTGTCGGCCGCCTGGACTGGACACAGAGCATGTCCTCGAGCAAGCCGAGAACACACATCCTGAGAGGCTGAAGTCCTCCTATGGGTTTCATGTTTTACGGTCATGTTAACATTCCCTTCCCCGTTATTCTGGCTTTTTATTTTTATTTTCTGATCAAGTATATAGAGCCAACAAACGAGTGAAGGGTGTCGTGACTAAAAATCAAAACCAACAGCAAGAACGTTGTCCAGATTTGGTCCCTGTCAGGGCTGACTGTGTCTGGGAGAGGACAGAGCATCTGCGTGTGTTTCTAGTGCCTATCTGCCATTTTAGGTACGAAGGGCGCCACCGGACTGTTGGTGTGCGGCGGCTGACGAGACCTGCTCGGTTTACCACCGACTCTGTCCTGAGGTCTCGCCCGCTCCTCTGCACCACACGTTTGGATGAAGGATGATCCGCACAAGATTCAGACCTCCTGCAAAACGTTCCCAGCACACGCCTCGGATGCTGGGTCCTTCGCCCAGTGCCGCTCAGCACACACAGCCGCGTCCTGTGTAGGCTCTGAGCTGTGAGACCCAGGGAGGCAGCGCGGGAGGGGTAGAGCGGGAGCCACGTCCCTCTACGAAGCGCTCCACCCAGCGCGAGAGCGGAGACACAGGGGCGAGGCTCTCCCCCCGGGGCTGCAGCCCCCGCCTCAGCGCCCGAGCGCCCCGGAGCCCAGCGCGGATGATAAAACTCATCACCTGGGACGCGCCCGCCGGTCGCAGTGCGGCTAGCACCAGTGGTCTTGGTCGGGGTGGTGGTAGCTGCGCCGCCCCCGGCCGCCCCCGCCAGAGCTGAGCCCCAGAGTGCAGTGGTAGCCGTTGGGCACCCGGCGGAGGGGGTGCGACTGGGAGGTCAGGGAGGACACGTAGGAAGTCCGGGACGAGCGGCCCGAGTTGGTGGCCACGGCCTCCTCGAAGGTGAGCGTGTCCTCAGGCTGGGTGCGGGCAGCAGCCTCGCTGTCCAGACGCCGCCCCAGGTACGGGTCGGAGCCGATCCGTGAGCTGGGGGCCAGGGGCTGGCTGAGGGGGTCTCTCTGGAGCAGGGCGTTGTGTTCTGAAAGGCCACGGCTAAGCCGGCCGGGGGAGAAGGCAGGGAGGCTGGTCTGAGCCCCAGCGAAGTGGACGGGCGAGGAGTTGGCCGTCTTATAGGCGATGCTGGGACGGGGCGTCAGCGGGGTCTGGGGCAGCTGCCTCCGCCCGCCGCGGCCAGGGGTGCTAGCACCAGATGTTGGCAGCAGGGGGCTCCCGTTCGCTGAAGCACTGCCCTGCGGGAAACGGGAACACAGCAAACCCCAGTCAAAGGACAGGGCGAACAGAGCACAGCACAGGGGAGAGCCGTGGCGGGGGCCGGGGGCGGGCAGCTGGGATGGACCCGGGCCGGCCCCAGGAGGGTGGGATGGCAGTCTGGGGATGGTGGTGACAGCGAGGGATAGGCACAGGGCCAGGGACCAGGAGACCACAGCCCAGCCCACCTCAGTCAGAAGGAAAGCAAAGTAGGGACTGGACAGCGGGAGGGCCGGGGCTCCGCCCGGCAGGACGGACGGGCCCGGGAAGCGAGGAGCACAGGCTTGGGCCTAGGAACCAGGATGGGAAGGGGCTCCCTCCCGGACCCCAGGGAGCGCGGGCGAGGCGGGGTCCTGAGGCCCACGTACCTGTCTCGGGGGTCCTGGCTCCTGCCCAGCGGTTGGCGACGCGGGGTGACTGCTGAGGGGGGGCTGGGGCTGTGGCGGCTCACGGCCCCCAAAGCGGTCGCAGGAGTAGAAGCGTTGCTTCTCGGAGGAGGCGGAGGGCTGCCTTCGCTCCTGGGACCGGCCCCGCTCCTGCCTGCGCTCCCGCCGGCAGCCTGCTGGCCTGTCCCCCGGGGGCGGCCCTGGCCCCGCGGCGCTGTTGGGTGCTGGCGGGGAGAGAGGAGAAGTCAGCACAGCCAAGCCGGCGGCGAGACAGACCCCATCCCGGCCTGGCCCCCCAGGGCCAGCAGAGGGTCCCAGGGCAGAGCTGGGGGCTGCTCCTGCCTGGTCTCAGGCTCAGGGCTGGCTGTGGGGTTGTGAGGTGCAGAAAGGAAGACGCCTCCCATGTGCTCTTGAACCCCCAACTCGAGCCACCGCCCCTCGAGAGACCCCTCGCACGCACCGCCATCTGTGTCTGCGGACAGGCTGGGCCCCTTCTCCAGGGACCTCGGCTTCCTGTCCCTGCGGCGATGGCAGCGGTGGTGATGGTGGGGGGCGGCCTGGCTGGCCGGAGCGCGGTCCAGGGCGGCGTTGCAGAGACGGGCCACGGGGGGGCGCTGGGGCGCCAGAGTGGAGATGGAGCGCTTCATGGGGCTGGCGTCTGGGGCCGGCTGCGGGCGGGGACACGGGTGGGCGCACGGCCTGAGAGTGGGGTCCAGGGAGGCCCGGGGCGGCGGGGAAGCCGCCATGACCCGGGGGCTGGGCAGACCACAGGACACGTCCCATCGGGAGGAATGGGCCTGGGACTCTATCCCTGAAGTTGGGGCACCTCCCCAGACAAGGGAGGCTGTGCCCCAGGGGGCCGGGGGGCGGAGGGGGGAGCATGGCGCCACGGAGGGCCTGGCCTGCGGTCTGGCAGGGTCCCTGGGGAGGCCCACTGCGGGGCTGGGGTTCAGGGACCACCAAGCCCCGCCCTCTCCCTGGACTGGTCTTGCCCACCCGAGACCCACCGCTTCTTTCCACAAAATGCTGTTTGTGTGCTTGTCTGTCTCTCCCAGGCCGGGCGGGGCCCAGGAGGCCTCTTGGCCTCAGCGTCCCTACAGGACTGGGAGGTGCAAGGAAGAGGGAGCCTATTGGCCTGGCTGGAAGGATCCCGCGGGGGGCGGGGGCCAGAGCTGCCTCGGCAGCCACGGTGAGACCACTGTGCCAGCCCTTCCGTCCATCCAGCACCGTGAGGCTGCTCCCCCAGGGCTGAAAGCACAACCCACGGAAATGGGCTCACCCAGAGCCACTGCTCGGGCTCAAGCATCAAGGAGGGAGAAGAGGCGCCAGCATGGCACCGAAGGGAGGTGTGGCCAGGCCAGGAGGGCACCAGGCGCAGTGGGCAGAGACGGGGGAGTGAGGGGTTGGAAGAGGAATGCTCAACCCGAGGGCTCGGGAAACAGTGCTGCAGCCCCCTGGCCAGGGGCTTCCTGCCAGGTGGTCGAGCGAGTCCCAGAGAAAGAAGCTCCAGTGTCCAGAGAGGGAGCAGGGTCACCCCCAGGGGCTCCGAGAGGACATGAGGGAAAAGGGTGGCTTGAGGAGGCCCTGTGTGTGATTTCTGGGGGAGTGAAGAGCTGGAGTGGGAGAGGCGTGTCCCAGAGACAGGGAAGGGCTGGGTCAGTGACACGGGGCAGTGGGGACTCTTGCTGGCCTGGCCACACCTCTCGAGGCCAGCATCGTGTTCTGAGGGCTCCAAACAGGGCCGGTGGTGTCCAGGCCACAGTGCATTCGGGGAGGCTCCACCCCAGCAAAGCCCGCATGTGGAACACAAGCTCCTCCATGCCAAGTCTCCTCACCCCCAACACCCCTCCCATGACCCCAACCCTCCCAGACCACCCACCTGAGTCTCCGCTGCCAGGCGGGGCATGGAGGCCGCTCGGCCCTGGCTCTCCAGCCCGGGTTGGGGCTCCCCGTCAGTGCCTCTCACGGCCACGCTCTGCATCTGGACATCCACAGCCTGGGGGGACAGCAGGCCCCCAGTCACACCCACCCCCATCGCACTCTCACCTTCTCCCCCATGCCAGCCTCCCCCCATCCCGCTCTCGTCCTCACCCTCCCACTCTCACCCCGCCCCCAACTCGGCCCCCCAGCCCTGGGAGCCCTCACCGGTTTTCCTGTCTGCACCACCGGGATCTCCGTGGAGTGGCCACGTTCCAGGGGCATCGTCACCTCGCAGGGCACCTCCTGGGTCCTCTGAGTGGCCCAGGAGACCGACTCCTTGATGCCACCCTCTTGGGTATGTCTGTGGAGGAGAGAGGATTGTCCTGTGGGCCTGGAGGTCCATGGGCCACAGAACCTGGCTCCCACCCGCCAGAAACCTCCACCCCGACCCTGTTCCGGGTTAGAATGAGCCCAGAGGAAGGAGGCCTGTTGAGTTTGGCCACTCTCCAGTGGAGGTACAGCAATGGTCGTGCCCGCTCAGAGCTGATGGGCAGAGAGGGGACCCTAGTCTGGGGACATCTGGCCTAGACAGGGGCTCACATGTGCGGTGGGACAAGGCCACACACGTGCACACGGGTGAGGCATCCAGCCTGCACAGCTGCTCCGTCAGCCCTGATGGCCCACGGCTACTCACGCCGCCCCTGACCCCAGCCACGGAGGCCTTCCTGCCCTGAGGTCTAGGCACAAGTGTCATCTTTGGTGAGACCACTTTTGGAGGCCTTCCCCACCACACGCAACCTAACCGCCCACCCTCTCCTTGTCAGTGTCTGTCTTTCTTATCATGTCTCCCAAGTGGCACCACAACAGCCCAGCATTTGCCTGGGTTTCTGCTCGTTCTCGTGTACAGTGAGGCATCACATACATTCTCCGTCACCCAGGTTGAGTGGCAACAATCACACTCTGAGCTCAGAGGTGAAGCCTGATGGCCTAAGCTGGCCACGATGATGACCAGACCCACCATCACTGGGGTCTCTGAGAACATCCTTCATCTTCTTAAGTTGCAAGCATCTCCCTTGCACTGTGCTGTCTGGAGCTGCTCTAGCCTCAGGAAAGGCTGACCTTGAGAGGAACCACGGCCAGGAGGATGGACGCTGGCCCCAAGGCCTGGTCACCTCTGAGGTCACACCATGCCGAGGCCGGGTGGGCACTTACACCAGCCATCAGAAGGCTCAGTAATTGCCCCCACTGCCTGGCCCTGGTAGATTGGGCCCTCTCTCACATGCAACGAAAAGGGGTGGTAACTGATTTGTGTAGAAATTATAACCATGGAAATCAGCGACGTTCATTTTCCTGAACCGAAAGCCCGGCTCAGATCAGTCCACAAAGACACCTCCCCACCCCATCCCCTCCGACACACACATAGACACTCAGAATCCACTGTTTAACTTTAAATGCACAAATGGGATCATAATCAGCATGGAGAAAGGAGAGTGTGGGAACACGGGGGCTCCCAGGGGCCGGGAGGCCAGCCCTCAGGGCCTGCACGCACTCAAGAGTGCGGTTTTTGCACGGGAACGTTACCAGTTGTGCTTAGGTTCTCCCAGTGTCCTGTGGCCTCTCCACCTCTGGACTTGTGCCGCCGCAGTGTCAACCCCTGTCCCATGAGCTCGGGCTAGGGAGGTGACTTGCTTTGGCCAATGGGGCACACGGAGAGGCCTGAACGCCTGCACCCTAACCCTTCCCCTCGGGCTGTTCTCCAGCCTCCCCACACCGATAAGCCCAGACACAGGAGGTGAGAATATGCTGTCCTGGGCCCACCGGCCCCACAGGAGCTGGCCCGGGCCCAGGCCCAAAGCACTGCCAAAGCACTTAGGGCTGGCTCCCTAAGTATGGCAGTTTGTTACTCAGCAAAAGCTACCTGATCCACAGTCCATGACCCAAAATCAGGCTTCAAAAAGAGTGTCCAAAACATGCACAGGAGAGGAAGAAACCGGGAGCCCTAGCCATGCTTGCTGCCTGGCCTTGTGGTTCTCCAGGACGGCAAGTGGGTGTGAGGCCCACCCTCAGCCCCTGCTGGTGAGACAGAGCGCACGTTCCTGCTTTGGGCTCAAAGCCCTCCAGTGTGGCTCAGCCTGCCCTCCAGTGTGGCTCAGCCTGGCACCAGCTACCACCCCTCACAGTGCCACAGGGATGGCTATTCTGGATCACTTGATTTTGGGGTCGTTACCAAGAGTTACGTGATAGGGAAAGCCCTTGCCAATTTGTCTAAAAAACAGACATCAATAT